CCCCACGTCTTCAGTTCCAAAGCTAATCATAGCTCTTTTAAGCTACTTCTTTTCATATTAGGCGTGTTTCATCTTTGCCTGAAAGCCCCGTTGCACTAGTAATAAGGGCTGCAGCGCGAGCACGAAGGTTCTCGTGAAACGGAAGGCGAGGCAAGGAAAGCAAAGAGGACAACACGAGCGCTGCAGCCCTCTTGCTTTCCTCTTTGCTTTCCTTGCCTCGCCTTTCGTTTCACGTTTCTTCTAGCACCTTCAGTGCTCGCGCTGCAGCCCTTATACCATGAATTCAAACCAACTAGCCCAAATAGCCGTTCTTCCCGTTGCACGTATGCCTCATCCGCGTACCACGAACACCACTGGAAACAGAATTCAGCTCTATACAAATGCCACGCGAGAACATTGACTGGACCGCCCAGATCTGCGCCGCTCTCAAGCTGTGCCGGCCGACCGACAGCGTCCAAACATGGTCACGGCTGAAAAGTACGCGAATTCGACAAGCGTAGCGTATCCTTCCAGCGTGCCGGGTGCAAACATGGAAGGAAAGCACTCGCATTGGGAAATAGCGCGAATCCCCTTAAGACCAACGCCCGTCTTCTGCCCTTACTCGAAACGAGAACAAACGCCCTGCCATCTCCTAACGGGCTGCCATCGATTTCGGTTTGAGGGACGGACAAGCATCAAAAAGTAGCCCGGATCTCCTTTACTTTTACATGCTAGAGCGTGTTCGTATAGGGAGCCCTCTCTCTATCCTCCTACACCTTGGTTCAGCTGATTTCTCCACTTTCCTCCGCGTCCGCTTTGTCGCTGTCAGCTCGCGAAACTTTTTTTTTTCGCCTACCTCTGACACGTTTGCGCGGCAAACCGAATGGCCGGTAGAAAGGAGAAAAAAAAAAAACTCTCAATTGCGAAACAAAGCTATCGACGAATATAAGGCAATACGGAAGAGCACAATGGCAGTTTGGCCTGTCTTGACGGATCTCGAAGTCTTTGCGGGGTCTCCATAGTTCAGCTCCCTCCACTCTCCGCTTCCCTTCAGCCGCCGCTTGTGGATAGCGTCCCTTTCTGTGCGCCCCCCACCCCCCCCCCTTTTCGTTTTTCTGTACTTCCCTTGGCACTTGCCAGGGTTCAGGATTCAGTTGGTTTTGCCTTGAAAACGAGAAAACCGAAAGGCCGAAGAGAATTCGGCCCACCGAAAAGGGAGGCCAATCGCCTTCTCCAGAGGGCAGCAGCAGTAGCGGCGGGGATACGGGAGAAATTGAGAGAGGTGCCGGCAGAACCCTCAGGGCATAGAGGACTAAGAATAAAGACAGAAGCAGCGGACGAGGAAGTAGAGCAAGGGGAAGAGCTGAACGACGGGAAAAGGGCGGCAGAGGGCAAAGCGGGACCTCGTGTCTCCGGAATACTGATCACTACGCGCGGCCGGGGTCTGGGACAGCGCGAGCCTACAAATCCTCGCAAGACGAAAACCTACTTGGGAGCTGCGTGCTCACCGAGGTGGCCTCTTCCAACAGGAATAGCCCTCCCTTCCCAACTTCGTTCCCCTCGTCCTCGTTCGTGGCGCTTCTTTACTTCGCCACCGCGTGGCTCAGCCGCTCCGGAGCGTCGCTATTGTGTTCCGGCGCCCGGGGTCCGGACGCGCCTTGATTCGCTAAAACCCCGGCCCGTTTATCTCGTGAATCGCGACCAGCGACGGCCGCATTCAAACCAATTCGCGGTCATAATCTCGCAGTGAGGCCTCCCCTGCCGGCTTGGGCAAGCGTTCTAGAGCCGCGCGAAGCCGCCTGCACAGTGAAGATGGCAAGTTTTTATCCTGGACCAACAAGATGCTCTGTTTTGCTGGCTAAAAAAGGAAAAGGCTCTCTGTTTAAGTGGTTTTTGCTACGAACTCTGTTTCGCACCCTCTCTCGGCTGTGTACGTGATCGTTTTTTTATTACACCACTCAAGCGGTTTTTCTGGGCAACGAAGGTTTTATTGAATCAGTGCGGATTGAGATAGTGAATTCGCACCGAGATTTGGCGAAATATCAAAGAGGCGCTCCGAAATTCACTGGTTTTGCATAGCCTTAAAAGGCACATTCAACGAATAAAATATTCAGTGCTTTCAACAAACGCGGCATCGACCAATCTGTATAACGAGATGAAATGGACCGAGCAATGGACTGCTATCAAATGCGACATTCATTCATTCATTCATTCATTCATTCATTCATTCATTCATTCATTCATTCATTCATTCATTTATTCATTCATTCACCCATCCATTCATACATTCACTCATAAATAGTCATGATGTCCGGTTGTAACGCCTCCTCCTTCTCTGCAGCATTGTCGTCACACTTTTCAGCGATCGTTCACATGTAAAATGGTAGCTTTTGAACATGCGTCGCGTCTTCGAATTTAACTGAGCTTGTTACTTCGACCGAGAAAAATAATCTAAAATAGCAAAAAGAAAATAATTCTCATTGTTTATTGTTCTTATCTCATTTTGGTCAAAATCTCTCTTGCCCTTCCACCTGTAATGAGTACGTGTGCTTAGCTATGACTGTCGTCATCTCATGCATTTCGCGCAACCACCGTCACTATTCTATCTACATAGGCCCACTATACTCTCCTAGAGATATTTTATATAGCAGTCCTCCTCAAAAATAGGTCTCCGCCACTGCTACATCTTAACAAGGGAAGTAGCTAAGATTAGATTCAATGAAGATCAAGGACACAGATTTGCTACCCTTTCACGGTGGACCAGCACATCGATTGGCGCGAAGTGCAAGAGAAACCGGTTTTTTTTACTTCATTTTAGCATCAATTTAGGGAACTCCTGAAGGTACGCATTGATCCGAAGCTCCCCCTAAAGCATGCCTGTTAATCTTATCTCGGTTCTTCAGCGCGTAAAACCACACAATTTATTAGTGTGTCACGTACTCCCTGCGTCCTTGCTTCTATAAGAAGCTAGCTTCTATATCCCCACTGGCACATTTTAAAGTAACTCGTTTAACTTAAAATCCGATGTTAGCGTTGGAAGTCGATGTCGTGTCGTTGGTTGCAAGCAAAAAATCAGCGTTATCCTGTGAGCGAAAAATCGGACAAATGCGCAAATGAGATAAATAATAATAAAAAATACTCGGTTCCAACGAGAATCGAACACAGGTTGATGACATTACAAGCAACTGCTCTATCACAGAGCCATGCCAGCTCTTGAAAGTGCTCCAAAAACAAACAAAAAATGCCATGTTAAATATAACGCTTACAATACTGCGTGATGTCTTGACATGCGACGGAGCTCGTTGGTATTTACTTTTTTTCCACTTTTGTCGATTTTTTGCTCACGGTTTACGTTAATTTTTCGCGCACAACCAACGTAAGATCAAGTCAGGCGTCAAAACATGTGCACCGCGCAACAAGTGGGTGTTTGAAAGGCCCACTCATTACAGAGCGCTCACGCACATCTTGTCATTAAAGGCCCACTCGTTACAGAGCGTTTACGCACATTTTGTCATTAAAGGCCCACTCATTACAGAGCGCTGACGCGCATCTTGTCATTAAAGGCCCACTCGTTACAGAGCGTTTACGCACATCTTGTCATTAAAGGCCCACTCATTACAGAGCACTCACGCACATCTTGTCATTATCCTCAGCAAAAGCATCAACAAATACAGCAGCTGCGTAGGTTCGCACGTTGCCTTACGGACGCGCAGTGTGTCCTTCCCGATTCGCAAAAGGAAGAACAGGGAGCTTTAGAAAAGCGCACCTCGAGCCCTTGCGGTGTGGTCGCTGCCACTGCGCATGCGTCGTAACGCAAACCACCGTTCACGTTTGAGGCGCCCGCCCGCAGAAAATTCGAAATAGCGTGAGGCGATCGCGGCCCGCAAAGTGCTGTGTGTAGCTTCCGTGCATTTGGGTTTGCGGTAGGGGCGAAAGTCCCTAGACTTTTTCCTGGGGTGAGCAAACACTATTCTAAAACTCACGCGGCACCCGCAACTAAAGCACCGCCTGCAACATCTGCAAACTTTATTCTAAAGCTCCCTAATTACGGCATATAGTGGCCCCTGCGCAACCATACTTGCGGTAGACGTTCTACAGAATAGTTTGACCCGACCAATGCTAGGCACATATAGACGATCGCTTTCCTTGCGGCACGGTTGAGACGTGAAACGACAGCCGAAGTTAGGCGAGCAATAAAGAAAGCAATGCGTACGTGATCACGTCGCACTTTGGAAACGAAACTAACCCCGTATTCATAAACAATCCTCGACTCGACTTTCACCCTTCACTTGACAGAGTTGAGTACTGCACCGCTACTCGGCTGAAATTGACGATGCACTGCTCGAGAATCGCACCTCATTATCGCTGATATACATTGACTTGCCGTGCCTCAAGTGAAGGTGAAGTGTTGAGTGAAGGGACGTTCTAGAATACGGGCGAAAACGTCGTTCAAGTTTCTTTTTTTTTTTTATCGAAAGCCTTCGCTTGAGCATACAACTACGCTCTGTCATAAGTACGCATAAAAAGTTGCTTCATGTATGAAGTGAGCGGCGGAATGATCCATGAATCTATCGAGGTCGGATGGTCGGTCAGTCGGCCAGGCTTGGCCTGAGCTCTGTTGCGTGAAGGTGGCAAAGACGGCGCCACTGCACATGTTCACAGCAAGTACGTCGCAGTCCTATTGTAGAATGGGGAGTCGCAATTCATAGGCGCGATTCATCACGTTGTCCGCGGTGCTGTTGCGTCCAGAGAGCGATGACAGACCGGGTACCAAGCTATATATTTAGTTATTTGTTCTAGCAGAACACATTACTTCGACGCATCGACTGGACAACCCTATTGCATTTTTGATTCTTTGAAAATTTTCGAGCTCTACATGAATATTTCATCCAAAAAACCAATGGCATTTCTGGATAATGAGTTCAACTGATTTACTCGGAAGTGTTTGTTACCAGCTCTGACGTCCCTTATATACCTAGTGTATACATTTTACAAAAAAAAAAAGTGAGGGATGAACTTACGTTTATGGTGCGAATAGAGGTCGTCACAGCCAGTTATCCTGGCATGGCCTGACAGGCGAAGAGCCTTCCCGATGAAGCACGGTAGTGGCGATCGGCGCTTGTTGCGTCAAGAACAGTTTCTTGGCATCGGTTTATGAATCCAGGTTGTAGACCTTTCGAACTTCACCTGGAAAACGGTAAATGAGAAAAACAAAAGAAAAAAACAGTTGTTGTACTCGACCTCGCAGACAGTCAAACTCTGCAAAAGTCGATAAGACCTAGGAAAGTTCGTGACGATTCAAGACAAAATGCGGCGAGTTTTATCGTTAATTGAGTCGGAGAATGCGAATAATTTGCTAGATAACGAGGAACACACACAGCTGCAGACGTCTGCAACATTATGACTTTTTTGTTTTTATTTTAATAAACGGGCACAATCAACGTTACCCTGAAATATATGCAACCGTTACCCGACAGCGCGACATCAAATCAGTGAGGAGCTAACTGAAACTCAGCAAACATTACTGCACGAGTGCGCGCAGTAAATCATTTTATGCAATCTGTACACTCTTCAGTTCAAAATTTGTTCCCGATGCGAGGGATTATTGGACAGCTGCCACCTCACAAACAAGATCACGTGACGCCAACACGCAAAAGAGAGTGTTCCAAGCTCGCCTTATTTGCTATACTGGCGGCGTTCACTAGCGCTCCTACGTTTGAATACACATGTATACCATATAAAGGGGTCAGGGGGATAGGATCCGCCGTTGATCAGTGGCAAAACATCGGACGCGTTATTTGAAGGTGGCAGATTGGTCCCTACCGATGGCATATTACCTTTTGGTCCAGTTTTCTATCTTAACATTTACATTAGAATTACTTCTAATAATTTTACGTATACCTTCCTTAACACTGTTGTCTGTTAGTTTCAGTTCATACTGTATAAGAAAGGAGAAACGAGCCCCTATTTCTACAATTATATATAGATAGATAGATAGATAGATAGATAGATAGATAGATAGATAGATAGATAGATAGATAGATAGATAGATAGATAGATAGATAGATAGATAGATAGATAGAGAGAGAGAGAGAGAGAGAGAGAGAGAGAGAGAGAGAGAGAGAGAGAGAGAGAGAGATTCTCAATGACGGATGCATGGTTCTCAGTCGAGGGGCTTTACTTCCCTGTACAAAGGAAACATTACGCGCTCTCTCGCAGGCCGCGTTCTCGTGTTTACGGGCGGTCGTGACTGATTTGACACCGGAGAGGAAAATTGCGTGCGATCCGTTTCGCCTCTGTCACCGAAAGGCGCTAGTGGAGCGCCCCGGTTGCGTCAGTGCGCGCCAGCGAATTGCGTATATAGGTGCGCGGCTATTTATTATTATCATATCCTCCGGTTCACGCTCCGGTTATCGTCGGTGAGTACGCAAAAGACGTAAGAAGGGCAGAGCTATAGAAATAAAGCACCAATAAACGCGAAACAACGGTAACTAACTCCATACAGTGGCGCGTGAAAGAGAGTCGTCTCTGTGTGTGTGTATAGATATTACACTGTGCGCCTCTGTATTAGGCAAAGTCGTCGGCATGGCAATCGGCGGACGCTCTCTCCGGGGAAATACGATGCATCCGACGACGAAGCGTCGCTTGCGCGGCCGTAATTATGAGCGATGCGCTTCTGTGCATCCTACGAACCACGAGGCAGGGAAGAAAAACCTCAGTCCACACGAGGATCACGTAATTGCGAACGCTGAGTTGGTTTGGTTTTGTTCGTGGTTACGTGAATGAATGGAAAGCGATAGCAAGACTGGATAAAGCGAGTGGGCCGCAAACGAAAGGAGATTCTTTGCTCGTGCCGTAGTCATCCATCTATACATTCGCGGCCGTTTCCTGGGAGATGGGACGAAATATATCAACAAAAAGAAGAAAAAGGAATATTGTTAGTTGATTATTCCCCACAATTATTCATTGTAGTTAGTCATACGAGGGCCACCTAAGTAATGCCTCAATAGCGTTATCTTTGCAGTCGACGAAGAAAAAGAAAGCTAATTATTTAGAAGCAGTGTGGTTAGCCAGCGTATGCACGCGTACTTGACACTCTGCAAGAAATGGGATACAGTGCGTGCAGGCCTTCAACGCACAACCTTGCTATACTAGTGCGCCGTTCCAAAAATGCCTCGTATTCACGCAGTGACTCTGCATTAGGAAACAGCGCGGTTGCGCGATCAAGCTGTATCATTCAAACAGAAGTACTGTGTCAGTGCGTTCCACCCACAACAAACAGGCGTAAGTCTATTGATTACGGATATAGGACTCATATCTGGAGAAAATGACTCAGTGTACCACTAAGCGAACACCTGTGACGTCAAAGGGCAGCTGCAACACATTTGTAGCACGGTTACAAAACGTTGCCGCTCGGTATTCGAGGATCGTGTTAGCGTGTGAGCCGAATGTTGTTGCACTGCAAGCAGCGGGGAGTTAGCAATAACGTTTTCAGAAACAGCTAGAAATCACTTGTCCTTCATCACTTGGTGAATCGCGGTATCGATGGGCATGGCTATACGACAACGAACTGAACGATATTGGCTGATTTAGTGATCGAGAGGATGTGCTCAAAGTCGTGGCATGCGCTGACGTAGATCCTAGCCCTTGTATGTAGAGAAGAGGAAACCTCCACGATCACGTTACGTCACATTCGCACAAACATTGTGAGATGTGGTATAGCAAAAAACCACCTTACGCGCTCCATCTTTAGTAAGTTCTTTTTAGGCGTCTCGCGTTATCTTCACTGTGCAACCTGCGTCTAGCTGATTAATGGGTTTCTTTCAGTTTATTTTCAGCTTCTCGAACAGCCACTTGTGCGCCGCTATTCGGTAACTCTTTCCGCGGCTCAAGCCCGTTCTGCTGACTTCAGGGCTTCCCCGAACGTGACGAGCAAATCGAAACAGTTGCACGTACAAAGCTGCAGCACTCGTGCGTTTACAGACACGTACTTGTACGCTCAACACTCCCATTCCCCAAAACTCGCAAACGTAAACTCCAACCCGGACGAAAAAAGATAGAGAATATAAAGCAAAATATAAAAAAAGATGAAGAATATAAAGCAAAGAAAGCAGAATGGATACGTTGTTTCTTTCACTGCTCCCAGTAAAGCCTCAATGTGAAGGTGTAAAACCGGAGTTAACCAAGTTCCGCGTTATATTTTCCCGGTAAACAGAAGTGACGCTGGACTTTCTTTATTCACACACAAAAAAAGAAGGCGGGGAAAGATTACAGAACGAAGCGCTAAGTTTCGCTTCCTCCCAATCGCGCGCCGTAAAACAGTAGGGAAGAATCTCATTCTCCTCACGTATAAAGGTGGACGCGTCCTTCTTTTTCTTGATTTCCTTTGTTGAGCGAAACAACACGAAATAATAAGAGGAAGAAATAGAAAAAGAAAAAAGGAGAATGGCGAGCGTCGGTGGCGCGAAGAAAACAAACAGCGCGATGACAGCCGCGCGATCCCAAGATCGAACACCTCCGAGCCGCGCCTCGGTTCTCCGCATTATAACAGACGAACCGGCGCAGCGTCGTCCCCGAGGAGAGCCTTGCATTTTCGGGAAAACGCGACTCCCCGGATGGCACGCGAGCACTGCGCAAGACGAAATCGAGAAAGACGGAGAGCCTTAATATCTAATAAAAACAACAAGAACATCACAAAGGTGTCGGGCACCGACAAAGCCTGCGAATATAAGGAAGGGGGCGGGGGGATGTATAATAAACGAATGAGAGAGCGTAGGCCGAGACTTCAACGCATAGTGGTTTCTGATCTTGTTGCAGCAACACTGAAACTCGTCTTTCACCTACTCTCTTGGTTTCGTTTTGTTGTTTTACATTTTTGTGTCTTTATATTTTTTTCTGCTTCCTTTCCTATTTCCAATGCCACGGGGGGAACAAAAGCTGAAGAGCTTGCCTGGTCCCGGGGCAGAAGAAGAAGGAATGAAGGAAAAGCAATAATCCGTAAAGGTGAAGAAAGGAATAGATATGCGTATCGAAAATAAATAAGAGAGTGGGAAGTGGGGTCACTAGATAGATAGATAGATAGATAGATAGATAGATAGATAGATAGATAGATAGATAGATAGATAGATAGATAGATAGATAGATAGATAGATAGATAGACAGATAGACAGATAGATAGATAGATAGATAGATAGATAGATAGATAGATAGATAGATAGATAGATAGATAGATAGACAGATAGACAGATAGATAGATAGATAGATAGATAGATAGATAGATAGATAGATAGATAGATAGATAGATAGATAGATAGATAGATAGATAGATAGATAGATAGATAGATAGATAGACAGACAGATAGACAGATAGACAGATAGACAGATAGATAGATAGATAGATAGATAGATAGATAGATAGATAGATAGATAGATAGATAGATAGATAGATAGATAGATAGATAGAAAGAAATGGGATAGACGGAAGCCCAAAGTGACACATCGGGCACTCCAGAGAGAAGAATGATCGCCGCCAGTATGGAACAAGTAAAACAAAGGTTGTGTGTGCTGCCGCGGTAATTGCCCCGAATCTAGCGAGTAAGTCACACCCAGTCATCGTTGACGCCGCGTAGACTTTCCATTTAAGCACAGTTCACAAGCAAGACCCCCTCCCCGCCTCCCCACCTCTTTTTTTTTTTTTTTGCGACACCGCACACAGCGCCAGTAAACCACGTAGGGGAGTGCATAGGGGATCCGAAGAAAAAAGAAACAAAAAAATGTCATTAAAGCGGACTTCAAAGTGCCCTTTGCGCCCCTTGTGAAAACTCTGAAGGACAACAGAAGAAATCAAGCTACACAGACGTAACAAAAAAAGAGAAAGCAATGGAAGACTGGCGGCCGGTATAGTGGTGAACCTGGCGATCCGAAAACGGCAGGAGTGGGGGACGCCCTCATAGGCTGGCGGCTTATTTTACCGCCTTATCGACTTTCGCGCGCGCACCACGTGTTTACCTGTCCGCCGCGTGTTTCTGACGCTCTCTGCCTTTCTTTATTTCGACTTGTTTGTCGTTCGACTTCGTCGCCTATACTTTCGGCTCGGAAATGAAAGAGGCAGAAAAGCAAACAAAATGTTGCTCATGCGAGCGCGGCATCCATTTTTCACCAAGCTACTTTCTCTTGTTGCCTTTTAT